ACAGATGACTGCCACAGCCATCCATCAATCCTCAAATGTCACCTTCTCTGTAAAGCATCTCTGATGACTATAAGAAATATTTCCCTGCTCGGTACTCCCACCATAATTAACCCACTACAAACATGGGTGTGTTTCTCCTCTGATAGTTCCTCGTGAGGAGAGACGATATCTGATTCACGTCTCCACCACCTCCCCTGACACCCCACTCCGTACACTTAGCAAGAATGGATGGATGGATGGATGGATGGATAGATGTTCAGATAGATGGATGGATGGATGGTCAGATGGACGGATAGATGGATGGACAGATGGACAAATGGATGGATGGATAAATGGGTTGGTCAATACATGGAATATGGATGAACTGCATGGATACATGGATGGATGGATGGATGATAATACGAGGAAGTTGATGGACTGACCATTGATTTTGGAAGAATGAATGATGGACTGAGGATATAATGTGGCTGGATGATTCATAGATGACGGATGAGTTGGAAATAGATGAATGAATAGTCGTGGACAGGTTGATATTAGACTGGTAAAAGGATATCAGTGAAATGGGTGGATTAGTGGATAGATAGATGGATAATAAGATGGTAGATGAATGAATAGGTGGATGGATGGCTATCCTAGATTCACAATTGAGGCAGAGTTTCAGAAAATCTAGAAGACTGGGACACCACTGGGTTATAGGTTAGAGAGTTTCTAAATCAACCAAGATAAGTTATGACATTTTTCTGAAATCTTTGTGCTTAATATCCCATCCGCCAAATTCAGGATGGTGGCTACCCCTGCGAAGATGCAATGTTTAATTTCTTATAAATGCATCTGAAAACAAGAATGGCCAAACATTAAGTTTTGATAAAGCTGGAGGATTATTACACAATTTTTTATGACATTATTTTTTTACTTTTTTTGACATTGATTACAATAAAAAGGAAAAATGAAATTCTCCATTGAGAGCCAGACATTTCCTGAGAGGTCAGAAATTATCCCAGGGAGTTTTTCTAAGGCAAGAGGACAGCCTGGGGCCATGACTACAGGCTGGGGGTACTAGCAGGGACCCACCTACCATTTTCTTTGCGGCCTCCAAGAGCTCCTCCTCTGTCTTCCGGCGCAGGCAGTGAACCATGACAGCCGAGGTGGTGGTTTTACACCCAGCAGCCACAGCAACTTTCTGCAAAGACCACAGGCAGCAAGCGCTCAAGAGTAATGTCCCTTCCCTCTGTCAAGGTAGAAGATGTGTTCTGTCCCCAGCCCAGTGTGTGAGGCCACTGGGGGAGCAGAAAGTACTCTAGATCAGACGTGTGGGTTCTGGGCCCACAGAGTGCTGCTTCTGTGCCTGATCTGAGTTGTGACATGAGTCATAATTACACACTCCCTCTGTCTGTTACCTCATCTCTGTTAAAATGGGTGTAATGATCTCAAAGCTGAGTGTCTCAAGAGAGGAGGTAGTGTGGGGGTGGAAGAGCATGGAGCCCCAATACCACTGTCTGGTTTGAAGCGCAGCCCCTGCATGTACTGGCCACTTGGCCTCAGGAAAACCACTTGCATTCTTTGTGCCTCAGTTTCTCCACCCTTCGATGGGCACAACGATGATCTCACCCACCGTACGAGCTAATACATGGGCAGAGCGTAGGAGGCTGCCGTGTCTCTCACACACTGAAACACGTGCCGAACTGCAGGAGGCCTGGGTGAGGTGATTCGCACCAAGGAACTTCAGAAAGTACCAAATGGGACTTAAACGGGAGCCTAAAGGCAAGCAGCGCGCGCCCATCCTGAGCGTGGATGGTGCTTCCCAGCGAGTGAGGCGTCTACGGCACAGCTAAGAGTTTCCACGTGCACAGTCACGTGCTGGAGTCCTGAGCATCAGCCAGACGCGACTCTCCAGGGCAGGGCTCAGACGTTTGCATCAAAGGGACAAACAGAAAATATCTGCGCTTTTGTGGGCCATGTGGTCTGTGTCGCAATTTCTAAACTCTGCAGTCAGAGTGAAATAAATGGGTGTCGCTGTGCTGCATAAAACTCTGTTTACAGACACTGAAATTCGACCTTCACATCATTTTCATGGATTGTGAAATATTATTTTTCTTTTGTTTTCCATTGACTTAAAATTAAAGAAAAATCATTCTTAGTTAAAAGGTCATATATACCTAAGACCAGATTGGTCCTCCCCTATCCTCAGGCAAGCTGCCCAGGCAGCCATTAATGCAGGGAGAACCCCTGACCCCAACCCAGAACCTCTTCTCATCTTAAAAAAAGTAAGAAGAAAACCCTCCTGAAGGAGAGGCTCCCCTGAGCCTGTCTTGGACACCAGGGGTGGTCTGTCCCGCACACCGTCACCCGGACTTTTCTGAGAGGCTGCCTCTGATGGACCAAGCGGGGCATCTCAGCAAAGCCGGGGCCCTGAGCCTCTCTCCTAAGTGATCTGGGATGGGGGTGGAGAGCTGAGAGTGTAGACACGAGCGTTTTCCAAACAGAAGAAAACCTGACTACTTTCTGGAACCACAGGGGAGTTCCCAAGCCCGGGCCAGATGGGCTGGTCGCAGGAACTGACAGCAAAGCTGGGCCAGAGAGGAAGGCGCTGAGGGACCCAAGGTGGGCTCCGTGGCGGCAGGGCCATGGGGAGTGCGCAGGGTCCCAGAGCCTGGACGGTGTCTGCTGCAGAATCCCTGCTCAGAACTTACTTGGTGAATGAACCAACAGGAGGAGGGAGAAGAGGAGAAGAAGGAGGGGGAGAGAAGAGCAAGAGTCAGAGAGACCTGGATTCCCTTCACTTTGCAATTTCTGGCTCCTGTTTGTTCACAAAGTCCAGCCTCACCCCTGCCACGTCTGCTCCCTTGGAAAATAAATTCCCTTCCTTGACTCAAGCCTGCCCCTGTGGCCACCTGTTGCTTATAACCAACGAATTCTGAAAAAAATTCTAAAAAAAATTCTTGGCATCTCCATTTCCTCCCCACCTGTTAATCAGCCCCTGAAGTCTGAGCTGCCCCAAACCAGCTCCCTCAGCCCCACCCAAACCCTGCACCCTTCTGGCTCCAGTGGGCCCTGCACAGCAGCGCCACCCTGTGGTCACCCCTTCCTCTCTTCTCACTGCTCTCCAGATAAACACAAACTACCCCCCAGGGTCCTGTGCAGCAAGGCCCCTGCCACTGTCCCTACCCTCAGCGCACACCAAGCTCCCCTTGATCTCTGCTCTGGCCACATCAGCCTTCTCTCACTCTCAAGATGCTTCTGCCACAGGACATTTGCACATGCTGCGTCCTCTCCCTGGAAGACTCACTGCTCAGCAAGTAAATTATTGCTCAGCTTTCTGACACTGCTTATTGATCTCTTTTTAAAGAAGCTTTTCCTGATAACCTCTGAGGGGTGTGGTCATGGGCGGTGCCTGCGCTGCCAGTCCCAGTGTCAAGCTTCAGTCAGAGCTTTGCACTGAACCCCTGTGGACCTTAGCATGTCGCTTCCACATTC